CATTTTATCGATGTCAATAGTTAATTAGCAAGCTGTAAAAAAAAAAAAATTAGCAAGCTGTAATGAGTGAAGAGATATCTCTTTGAATCGAGGTCATGTTATTTATCCTAAGAGAGTCGAGCAATATTTGTTGGACATATCCTCTATTATACCAACACTAAGTTGTAAGGCCACCTTGTAGATGTAGAATTTGGCCCACTTGGGTGCAGATATGTGTAATTTTTTCAGTTGACACAGAAGATCTGAGTGACTGATGCTCAAGTAAGGACAGGTTGATCGTGTTCTCTACTCATCAGTGGTTTACCCTCACAACTATGGTTTCATCCCACGTACAATTTGCGAAGATAGTGATCCCATGGATGTATTGATACTGATGCAGGTAGATTATCTTTGAACACAATATTCTTATCACTTTCAAAGCTTTCTACTTCAGCTTCTTTAATCATTATGAGAATTTTCGATGCTTCTTCTTACAGGAGCCCATCTTACCTGGTTCATTCCTCCGTGCTCGGGCTATTGGATTAATGCCAATGATCGATCAGGTAATGGCTTAGTTTTAGATATGTCATGTTGCTGACACAGTAGGCAATTACAAAAGCTAGAGAGGCAACGTGAGAGGAAAATTTAAAATTTCATCTCTACAATAGTGAGACCGCTGAACCATAGCCTTTTGGCAATTATTTTGAGGTCTGATGCATTGCTACGGTCTAATTCTTGTTGCAGGGTGAGAAGGATGACAAGATTATTGCTGTTTGTGCTGATGATCCTGAGTTTCGCCATTACAGGGACATTAAGCAGCTTCCTCCTCATCGCCTTGCTGAGATCCGGCGCTTTTTTGAGGACTGTATCCTCTCACGACGATTCAGTTCTTGAACTTCGCTTATTAGGAAGTTGTAATAACTAATATAATCTACTGGGTCACCTGCAGTCTATTAGCTTGCTCAGTCACACAATCAAAACAACTTAGTGAACCAAAGTGGTGCAGTATTGGTGAAGATGCTATAGCTATACTTACTATTTCTTTAAGAAATCTCTGTCCAGACTAATACCTTTCTGAGAGATATATGATTCCTTTACTAGTTGTGGTTGACAGACAAGAAGAATGAGAACAAGGTGGTTAATGTTGAGGACTTTCTGCCAGCTGAGGCTGCCATTGATGCCATCGAGTACTCCATGTGAGTGTCCTCCCTTCAAGTCATTTCAGATGAGTTTCTTAGGTATACTTGGGTACAGATTGAGAGAAGTCTTTTAGTCTGTTTAGGAACTAAACTAATTTTTCTTTACCTTATCTCTTCAGATTATGGTTCCCAGTAATTGACTTATCATGTCGCGTCTTTCTATAAATTGTGTCCATTTATCTTGGTTACCTTATCTGCAGGGACTTGTATGCATCTTACATTGTCGAAAGCTTGAGGCAGTGAGGAAGATGGGACGAGTGGATCGATGTTGTATTGGGTGGTTATGGTTGGGGCCAATAGACTCCTTGCTGAATGCCCTTCTTGGCATCTTTTAGCATTTTGAGTAAAGTTAGTCAACTCTTCTTCTTCGGAACAATCCTTATGCTGCAGTTTCAACCTTTGGTATCTACTTACTGTGATCATATGTCTGTCTCTGAATACTACAAGTAAAGAATCATGAGAACGACTAAGTAAATTGTTCATAAGCCCATGAACGAGTATGTATCACAACCTATAAGTACAATATAGCACAGTTTCATTATATCAGTACAGATGAGTTTTGCGGTTGCGAACCGTGCTTATTTCGCCGCGCTGATAGCTATACCCCCACCGTTTTTGCTTAGTTTACTCTGTCATGTTCTCCCAAGGACAAATCGCACTTGCCTGTCTATCTGTTTCTTTCCTTTCCATGTGTAGGAAAATTATTTTGGCCAAAACAGAGGGTGGATAGTTTGAACTAGGAAATACTCAAATCTTTTCAATTCTTACAAGGGATATTCGACCGAGCGGAAGTGTCATTATTGAAATTGCAAGGGACGGGGCTTGGATTTCACGTACGAAAGTCGTGATCTAGATACAATCATAGAACTCTAACATCAAGCACAACTTTACATGTCTTCAATGGATAGAGGACAACGATCCCTCTGTTTCTCTCTCTGTATACACTCCTTCTACAACAAAAGACCCTCGAATCGAATCCACCATCAATGAACTTTGTCTGGAGCTTTGTCCTAGAGACTGAAAACCGTGTCATCTTTCTGCTAAATTATCCTCAGGGACTCCGGGGGAAGAACAGCAGAAGTGCCAAAAGTTATGTACGGAGTTCATTTTGGTGCCAAAAGTTTCAAACGGATCACTTAAGTGCCAAAAGTTTACGCCGGCGATCACTTAAGTGCCAAATCGGAGAAAAAACGATCACTTAAGTGCCAACGGCGAGAAATTCCGACCAAATTTAATACGTGGCTTTTATATTTAAATTTTAATGACACGTGGCATTTCCACGTGTATAATTTAATTTTTTAAATATTTTTTTCTGATATTTTTTTCTTTCTTTTCTTTTTTCTTTTCTTTCTTTTTCTTCTTCTTCTTCTACCATAGCCAGGCCAGCCACCGGCCAGGGCCGGCCTTGTCGGGAGTCGCCTTCCTCCGGGCGAGGCCCGGCGAGGCAGTCGTGGCCTCGACGAGGGCCGGCCTCGTTGGATTTGGCGAGTTGACCTCGCCTGGGCAGGGCGAGCCCCGGCGAGGGCTCGCCTCGCCAGATCCGGAGAGGCCGGCCCTCGCCCGGAGGAAGGCGACGCCCGGCAAGGCCGGCCATGGCCGGTGGCATGACGCCGGCTATCGGAAATAAGAAGAAAAAAAAGAAAAGAAAGGAAAAAAGAAAGAAAAGGAAAAAAAAAAAAGAAATGTCACATCAGCTCCCGTGACCACATCAGCCTCCCGAGCCACATCAGCCTGAGAAATTAATAAAAAAATGTCACGTCGGATTTCCGGCGAAGTGGCATTTAAATGATCGTTTTTCACAACTTTTGACACTTAAGTGATCCGTTTGAAACTTTTGGCATCAAAGTGAGCTCCGTACACAACTTTTAGCACTTTTGCTGTTCTTCCCCCAGGGACTCCATTAGGTCTCGAGTTTTTGTCCCTCAGGCCAGATGGGTGACCAAACAGAGTAAGATGGAGCACCAAAATGGCAAAGCAGAGTCTCCAAGAAGGTTCTGTTCTGGGAGTTCGAGAAGGGAAGTGTGAGATTTTGCGGCCTAAACCTCGTTACAAGTGAAGAGTACATGAGCTTATTTATAGGCTTTACATAATGACAATCTAAAATAACAAATTATGATCAATTAAAGGAAATATACAGAATCACATAATAATATATAAAATTACAGAACATCCTAAATATTGGGTCAAGGCAATTTCGCTAGTATTCATTACGAAAACTATAAGTCAACTTTTGCTCCATATATTCAAATTCTTGCCAATGCAATTTGTCTTGACTACTTTTTAAAGCTATATTATGTATTCGAAAGAGCAGAAACAAATTAATTTTACTTGCAGAACAATCTAAAAATAGATCAAATAAATTTTTCGCTTGATGGGTAACGAAATATCCCTATATAATTTTGCTGTTGTTGAATCCCATGATATTTGTCAATTGTTTGCTTTCATTCCCTTGAAAGTTCCTAAAATCTCCAACTTGTTTTACCCTGGATCTTTTGTTTATTTTCTTTGTTTGATTGGATTGTTTTATTCTCATCACCATTGACAATTTGTAAGAGATTTCGAGTAAATAGTACATGCTTTGTATGAAAAGAGAAATATTAGATTTAGAACTATTAATTTTTTTTTGGTCAGATAAAAAAATACTATTAATTTACAAAATTAGTTTATCGAGTGATGTGCCGGACTTCAACTTTAATTTTAAGCAAGTGGGTTACATTCAATAACTAATAGCAGCCTGATACATTATTTTGGTAAACTAATTTGCGAATCAACATTAAATCTAGCCTTTGTCATAAAAGAGAGGATACTGCTGTAATAGTAAGTCGGGATGATTAAGAATGGAAGCAACACATCATCTTTCCTTTTTGTCTTCTCGCTAAGTAGAAAAATTGTGTTTGTCTGAAAGCAAAAAGGTGGAAAAGGACTGATGGATGAACGCCAGCGATGCGTCGAGGTTACCATAAGAGCTTCAAGATGGCAGTGACATTAAGAATGTTTAATTTAAGTCATAATTATTATTAATTTTGAGCAGCCCGCCATCACTGCACCACCGGATGCAAATTGAGATAAAAGCCAAAATCATCACACGTTTTGGATGCGTCGGTTCTACGACACAAATGAATCGGGATTTTCTGATCAAGGAACCACTAATGTATACGGACTCATGATCAAACCAATCAACCAATCTTATCGAACTTGACCAGCAACCTCCTACTTATATATAGAAAATAAGGATAAGTGCACTATAAGTCTTAAAACTTGTCATGAAAGTGCAATTGAGTCCTAAAACTTTTAAAAAAATGCGATTAAGTCTTAAAATTTGTCACGAAAATGCAATCAAGTCCTAAAACTTTCAAAAAGTGCAATTAAGTCCTAAAACTAATCACGAAGGTGCGATCAAGACCTAAAACTTTCAAAAAGTGCAATCAATGGAAGGACTTGATTGAACCAATTTGACAAGTTTTAGGACTTGTTTGCACTTTTTGAAAGTTTTAGGACTCAATTGCACTTTCGTAACAAGTTTTAGGACTTAATTACACATTATGAAAATTTTAAGACTCAATTACACTTTCGTGACAAGTTTTAGGACTTTCAATGCACTTACCCCTACAAAATATATCTATCTCACCAAAAACAATACTAAAGTCAGAAGCCGGTCGTAACTCCACCGTGCTGACACGTGGCGTAGGACGATAGGCTGCTTCCGCAGATAAAACGCAGCCTTTTTTACTTTACACATCGTCAGCGACGTCGTGCCACTGGAAAATTAGCTCGCTTCGCTTAGAGAGAGAGCGGTCCCTTCCCTCTCGCTCTCCTCCATTTCTCACTCCCAACGGTCTCTCTCTCTCTCTCTCTCTCTCTCTCTCTCTCTTCTCGCGCAGTCGCGGGTGGAAGACACCATAGGCACCAAAACCCCCACGGGCCACCGCCATCGCTGACCAATCCTCGATCGGAGGTCGTAGGGGCCAAGGGGAGAGGATGGGCACGCTGGGGAAAGCGATCTACGCCGTCGGGTTCTGGATCCGCGAGACCGGCCAAGCCCTCGATCGCCTCGGCTGCCGACTGCAGGGCAGCTATCACTTCCAGGAGCAATGTACGTCTCTCTCTCTCTCTCTCTCTCTCTCTCTATCTCCACCCAATCGTTTGCCGCGGGTTTCTTCGAACGTTCGAACTAGCTTGGTTCGGTGTGGAGGCGATTGGAACGAGGATTGGTGGATTCGGAGCTGTGCTTTTTAGCTGTAATATCGTTAGATTGATGGGAGTGATGATTTTTCGTGGCGCTTTTTCGGGGGCGAGTGATTGATTGAGGTCTGTGAGGGTGGTTTTGGCGTCGGTGCGGGGGCTGCGGAGGTGTGAAGATGAGATTATGGTTGGATCCCGCTCTGTAACCGTCGGTTCAGTAAGTCGAGCGATAGAGGCTGGTGTAGGGTTTTGTAAAATTGACTGTGGGAAGTATCGGGTGTGCCTGTGTATATTCTTTCGAGCTTGACTTGAGTTGGACCGTAATTGCCTACTGGAATTTATCGCAATACGAAAGGCATCGAATGGGTACCATGATAACACCGAGCTTCCGTGATAGTAATTTTCTTTGTGAATCCGTAATAATCGCGAGCATTGTATTATTAATCTTCTATATTCCACAAGACAATTAGAATTACTGCAAAATCAGTTGTTATACAGCTCTCTCTCTCTCTCTCTCTCTCTCTCTCTCATTTCTCTTCTGAACATGAATGGAAGTAGTTTTATGTCCGAAAAGCCTGATTGCTTCAAAGGTGGAAAATCTCTCTTTTGAGTGGTTGAAATTACTTATGCTATTAGACATGTTTTAACTAGAGAAACTACAGAGACTTAGTTACAGTTTGGCTTTTCGGAACCTTGACAAAGCATGTTTTGGGGATTTTTAGTTAGCTATGGAGCAAAGCTTACCATTTTTTGTTCCATACCAAAATCTGTTGATGGCTGAAAGAAAAAAAGCCATAGCCCCTCAAGGATATGTTTGAAGAATCTGAAGTTACCTTGTATCCCTATTCTCTGCAAGGCGACCAACCTCTTTTTGGTCATGATATAGCTGAATAATATTGTTTCTACGAGCAATTTAATGAAGAGGAGTCTTGGCTTTACCGGGTTGATCTTAGTTCAAACTATGAGGAGAGTGGCCTATCGCTTGTTGACTTCTTGTCTTCTACTATTATTAATGCTAGAAAATGACATTTCTTCATATTCACAGTCAATTTTTTTTTCACCTGATATTCCATCCTTTATTGAGCTTTAATCTGCATTTTTGTCTTCTAGTTGTGTTAGCAGCTTAATATGGACTGCCCTCAATGCATTTTCTGTTACTGTATCATGTCATGCTCCAAATGCTCAACTTTCAGTTGGTCATGTGATAAATGCGTAATTGCGCGCGTGCGCGTGTTAAAAGAAAGGAGAGAAAAGTTGGGTCGTGTGTTTGTATGCACATGTCATCAAAAGGGTTGATCAACGTAGAAATTTTACTTTTAGATATTTCCGCTTCTAGTTGAATTAGTCCTTGAGTGCCAACTACAATTAAGGCGAAAGATTCATAAAACTAAGAATTCTTAGTTGAAATAAACTTCTTCCAAAAGGAAAAAAAAGGTACCATGACTTGGAAAGACTGCATGATCTCCTTAAAAATCTTTGGAGGAGACAACAATTTTTTAGATGAATTGTTAGTGACTTGGATATGATGAGATTTTTAAATTGAACAACTCCACGGTGAAGCGTCTGGTATTGTCAATTTGAATTTCTTGTTTGAAATATGTGGGAATATGTCAACTATTCCAGGCTGCCTTCCTATGTAATGTGGCTGGCAACATTGGCTATTTGCTTGATGCAAACCAATGCTTGTAAAAAAGGGGGGAAGATATGTCAGGCACATTCTTGGTATGATGGGATTGAGGGAGGAATTTATATAGTCTAGCACATGTTACCTGGTATAATGTGCACCTTTAGAGGCAAAATTCTTGTGAGGACACTTAAATTTGTTTGAATCTACTTTTACATTCATACTTCTATTTTTTTTTGTCGCCCTTGCTAAAGCATTCTACAATACCCTTTAAACTGGTTTGGTCCAGGAAATTAACGATAGATCTTTAGTGAAGACATAGAAAAAAAGAAGAAGAAACAGAAACAGCAACATTTGGGATCCTAGTGGTTGCTATATTAGCTTTGTATTTCATATTTTGGCTGTATAAGAATTGGACTTCAGTCTTATACATTTACATAGGTGAGAGGTGAGAGAGGACATTCTGTTCTTCTCTTATCTTTCTTTTCTTCTTGTCCTTTTTTCCAATCACATAAAAGGTTCCATATAAATTAGAACAATAGGTGTAAAAGGGCCTTCTGGGGCGATGGTCGCCCTCGTCATGGTAGATTTGGGTTTTTCCCCTTTTAAAGTTATTGATATAATTTTCTTTATTATTTATCCAATCCTAGTCTAGGTTTATCGAATACAGTATTATATTTAGTTGCCCACCAAACAAGATATAGGATATAGCAAATTTGTTCATATTTCTGATGTTATCCTATCTTATCACGATCCTTGTCCCAACAACCAAACACAACTTTAGTGGTTCTTTATATGATATGAAAACAGAAAAATTATAGGTGCTTTTCTTTTAACTAATCTATCTTTTTTGTACAGTATCAAGGCATCGGACGCTCATGAACATATTTGACAAAGCTCTTGTGATTGACAAAGATGTATTTGTGGCCCCAAGCGCATCTATCATTGGTGACGTTGAGGTTGGCAGAGGTTCCTCCATTTGGTATGGGTGTGTTTTGAGGGGTAAGCTGTGCCATATTGAATTTGATGACCCTTATAAAAACGTTTTATACTGAATGCAACAGCAATGAAGGGATGCTTTTTCTTCCATATATGCAATCAAGAAGTATGAACAGCTAATGAGTAAATAATCGTTGGTAGTGTTTTGAACTTTCTACCGTGTATTAACCAAAACGATACACATCATAAGTGTGTGTTCGCATCTTGTCTGTATCTTCCTTTGTGCTTGTCTGTTAGTTTATCAATGTGTAACAGTGTCATTATGGGTGAGATCATTTCTGTGAGATCCAAGGTGAATTCTGAGTTTGGTATAGATTTGTTCTTTATAACTTATTTGTTTGTGTCTTGTTTGTCTGTATCTGCCTTTGGCCTTATCTCTAAGTTTATCATTGTGTGACAGTGAAGTCATGATGGTTGAGATATTTTCCATTAGGTCCAAGACTTGAAATTTGGCATAGATTTGTCGTTCTTACTTATAAGCTATGTACTGATTAGGATTCAGAGCATGAAATCCAGATTATCGAAATATGATCTCTATATAATCTGAAGAAAATTAGGAAGCTCAACTGTGTGAAAAATGTAAAAGCTGCTAATGCAGTCGGCGTAAAAGGGTTTTGGTTGAGGATGCATTGGCATCTGAGGTATTGTGGTGCCAATGAAGAATCTATCTCGTGCTAAGACTTAACGGTCAAGACCTTCTATTTTTGCTTTTGCTTTCCTCAGTCTTGCTGGTGGAAGGAAGAACCATACTATATCTAGTTGCTGCCGTATCTTCTACAAGAACGAAATATTATCTGTATATATAGCATTTCTTAAGAAGTTTGTCTTGTAACTTGAATTCGAATTGACAAGGAACTTTACCCTTGCAACCTGTTCTGATATTAAAAGGTCTTTTTGCTGAATTACATTCTTATTTTTCTGTGTCTGTAGGTGACATAAACAACATTAGCATTGGATCAGGGACTAATATACAAGACAACTCTCTTGTTCATGTGGCAAAGTCAAACTTAAGTGGCAAGGTTTTGCCAACTATTATCGGAGATAATGTTACTGTAGGTGTGTTACCATTTGTTATTCCAAACTATTACCAAATTGAATATCTAGTTGCATTAAGTATATTTCATTCTGGTGATTCAGTTTGCCTTCTTCAGGTCACGGTGCTGTTTTACATGGATGTACTGTTGAGGACGAGGCATTTGTTGGTATGGGTGCCACTCTTCTCGATGGAGTCTATGTTGAGAAGCATTCCATGGTTGCTGCTGGAGCCCTTGTAAAGCAGAATACAAGAGTTCCTTGTGGAGAGGTTTGTAATATTAACCCTGCTGATTTTTCCCCCAAAATTGTAAATCCGCTAATTTGATTGTAATTTTGAAATCCTCATTCTGTCCTTTTCATGTATGTTGATGTTTTTGCTGACATGCTTCTCCTCATCAATTTCCTCCTTATATTTTGATGCACCATTGTCATTATTACCATTGTTTGCTAAGATTTGGATCTTTCATCCATTTTGAGTACTATAATTTGATCGACATTACACAGTTGAGGTTTACAGCCGGATTTAAATCTGTCAATATGGTCAACCTTCGCATTGTAATCTCCAAGGCTGACGGTGATTTTACTTAGCACAGTTCACATTTTACCCAAAAGAAACAATGAGAAAAAAAGAATTGGATGGTGTATGAGATATAGATATTGAATTGACGAGCTGATGAGCAGTGCTTTTGGTTGAGGTCAGTTGCATCTGCCTGGTCTGAACGTGGCTGAAGGGAAATTGAATAATCTGGAATGACTTGTTTGTGATTTCCAACATCTCTTTTGTAGCTCATTGCCTGCCTTTCTCTATGGTATCACTCAACTCTTAACTTCTTTACATTTTCAACTAAAACAACTGAATCGCAGGTATGGGGAGGAAATCCAGCCAAGTTCCTGAGGAAGCTCACAGAAGAAGAGATGGCTTTCATATCACAGTCAGCTGTAAACTACTCCAACTTGGCTCAGGTCCATGCTGCTGAAAATGTGAAGAGCTTTGATGAAATTGAGTTTGAGAAGGTGCTCCGCAAAAAGTTTGCTCGCCGTGATGAGGAGTATGACTCTATGCTGGGTGTCGTTCGCGAAACACCTCCAGAGCTTATCCTTCCAGATAATATTTTGCAAGATAAATTGCAGAAGGCAACTTGATTTACCCTTGTGCTGAAGGTAGGTATCTCCAGTTGAAATTTGATTTCGGAGGTATGCTGTCATCTGAAGATTAAGCGACTACAGAATTGATATTCAATAATATTTGAGGCTGGATAAGAATTCAAAGCATGATGCCTACTTCCTGGCATCTGGTCCTGCTCAATTTTTGTGGTCAAGTGGGCACTCGTTTAACATTGACTTGGAGTGACTGTTCCTCTGATTACACATTCAGGTATTCCACCGGACATGGTTTTCCATATCTGCATCGGACTTATTTTCCATATGTTCTTTTATTAATGAAGAAGGTACTATTCTTCCATGAAACTGACAAGTTCTAGGAAGTCGGTCATCATACTTTGCCACGCTCATTGAATATTGATGTTTAGGGTATGAGTTCAGGAAGCATCTGAGATCATCTTTGCGCTGGTTTAGTTAAATACCTCGAAGACGTCAAAGAGCACCTCCCCGAAAACCAAAGAACTTGTCCCGAAACACTCCTAAGTACTGTGTTAGAAGTGACTGATCCGATGAACATAGATTAATAAACTAGTTTTTGTTACTCTAGTGGTTTTTGCAGTGTCGTGGAGCAGACGGTGGGAGGTTCTCGTATGTCTGGCCACTGGCCCGATATATGTTTGGGTATTTGTAACTGGTGAAATCACTGAGAACTAGTGCAGAGAAGTGGAAGTTCAGGCGATCCTATTTGGGTTGGTCATGAATTTTCCATCATCCACATAAAATTTCCTTGAAATCAGCTCCTGAACTGAATGTTGCTTTGTCAAAATTTCTAGCAGAATTTGTGGATCTAATCTGAGTAATTGAGGATGGTATGATACACCAAAATAGTTCTCCTGTATCACTTCGATTTCACCTGATCTAATGGTTCTCCTGAATCTCTCGATTCATTCATGGCTTAAGCAAAACGTACATGGCTTCTTTTTCGTGATGTTTAGGCTGCGAATGACAATCATTCTGTTTCAGAAATCAAATTTGGCTAGAAATAGATTTTTCTTTTTCTATTCCTGGACGAGTTTCTGAGAAAAAAACACGATTGATAACGACACAATTTCTATGCTCGAAACAAAAATTTGTTTGATAACGGTACAAAATTACTTTCTCTTGGGTGGTCGGCGAGTGGACGGCGGGCAGATGGTAGCGGCGAACGGTGAGTAGCGGATGGTGGCAGCGAATGACGGGCAGCGGACGGCGAGGGGAGGCGGCGGTGGACGGCGACGCGGCTAGTACGTAGAACGGCGGCAGGAGGGGGGCGGCGGCGGGAGGGGGTCGGCAGCGGGAGGAGGGCAGACGGTGGCAGCAAACGGTGGACGGCAGACAGTGGGGGGAGGCAGCGACGCAGCCAGTATGGAGGACGGCAGCTGGAGGCGGCCGACGTCGGGTGGCGGTAGGAGGCGGGAGGAGGGTGGCGGCGGCCGGTGGCAGGAGGGGGGTGTGAGCGGGAGTTGGGCGACAGGCGACAGGAGATGGTGGTCGGTAGGCGGCGGCCCATAGTGGAGAAGGTCGGCCAAAGGCAGGAGGCGGCGGTCGGCAAGTGGGCGGTGGGTGGGCGACTGGCTAGTAGTGAGAGTGAGCGATGGGAAGAGTTTTTTTTTCTCATTTTTGTTTCAGAAATAGAAAAATAGAAAATTTTTACTTATCATTTATGTTCCAAACCTATTTCTAAAATCAAAATTTATTTCAGAAATTGAAAAATGAAATTACGTTACCAAATTCTGGAACAAAAAAATAGAAACATAATGGTTATCATTCGCAGCCTTAGGGTGTGCATGGCAATGATTTTGTGCCCGGGAACTGATTCTGTTTAGAAATGATTCTTTTTTATTCTATGTCCGAAAACTGATTCTAAGCATTTGAAGGCGTTTGGTAACAGTTCAAAATTTCCATTCCTAGAATAGAAAAAGAACAGAAATGCATTTGGTAATGGCACAAAATTTATTTTTATTAATAATATTTTTAAATATTTTAATATTTTTTCTTCTCCTCCTTCTTGGCCGTGGCCTGGTCGCCGGCCACTGGTGAGGACGAGGCTGGACCCTCGCGGCCTGGGCGAGGGTCGCCCTCGCCGGCCTTTTCCAGCCCTTGCCCGAGCCGACGAGGGCCACTCTCAAGGCTCGTGGCCTAGGCGAGGGCTGGATTTTTGCCGCCGCCCCCCTCGCCAATTTGGCAAGGGTGGCTCTCGCCCAGGCCGCGAGCCTCGAGGGTGGCCCTTGCTTGCTCGAGCGTGGGCTGGAAAAGGCCGGCGAGGGCGACCCTCGCCCAGGCCGCGACGCCCTCGCCGGCCCTCGTTTGTGTCGCCAGGTCGTTGATAGGCAAAAAGAAAGAAGAAGAACAAAAAGAACGGGAAAGAAGAAGAAAAAAAATAATTTCTTTTCCAATTTTGATTCTTGTTTCCAGAAACAAGAAGCTACTTTTTTTTTTTATTCTTGATTCTTTTCCAAAATTGATTCTGAGAATAATTTTTTGCAAATTTGTGTCCGGAAACAAAAAGTTTACCAAATGGATTTCTGTTTCAAAACTGATTTTAGGAACAAAAGAACAAAAATTTTCACTATTTGGCAAGTTGCTAAACGGATCCTTAGTGGCCGATAAAGAAGGGATTCCTGGATGCATGGTCATAGTCGCGTTCATCAGGATGTGTTATCATCAAGCACGAGGCATTTGCTAGCCGTACACTTAGAATGGTTCAATTAACTGTTCAGAGGCAGAAAAATCAGGGCGCCCACCGGGGAGGAAACGAGAACATCAGTTCTACTTTTTCAAGGGTGTGTGCTTGTGACCTCGCTGCCATCAACATCTGAGGTAGGCCCCGGCATGGTCGCGTCGAGAAATTTGCTGCACTCCGACGCGATCGGGAGTCGAATTCTAGAATCCCAGAAAAATGAAAGTTTGGTTACTTGAAAATTCGTTTCGAAAGATTAGAAACTTCAATGGAGACTGAGGATGTAATTATCAGGCGTAAAATTAAATTAATACCTATACTTTTAAAGAGAGAAGAAATACCGACCAAAACAAAAAGAGAGAGAAGAAATAATTTTATTCTTAAAAAAATTCAAATAGCTTGGCCCTTCTTTTCCACAATAAATCGCTGGCAATATAATGAAGATTCCAACAAGTGGAGGAAAAACTATCAACACGGTGGAATTCTATCATATGATTCAATCAATATTGCAGTTTTATACACTTTAGATAATACTCCATAAAAAACTTTAGTGGAGAATTGGTTGACGGGAGTATTTATTTTGCTATAATTTTTTTCGCGAGTATTCACTTCGACAACAACATTTGAAGTAATAAAACGAATGTAGTTTTAGATCCATGTAGTGCAACTGCATCTTGCCGGTGAAGATACAAGCGTAGTAGTCCCAAGCGAATGCACGGCATATCACGATCTAGCCATTGAACCAAAAGAATGTGACGGCACATCCATCTATGGACTATGAGTGACTCGTGTATACTCTTCGGGATCAATTCGAGTCGTGTGATTTTCGCTAGCCAAATAAGCTATCGAGATTTTTTTTTAGGGTTAATACCACGAAAAACCCTAAACTGGTACACTTGTGACACATTTACCCCAAACTATTTTTTTGACCATAAAAAACCCCAAACTGGTACACCTGTGACAATTTTACCATGAACTATTTTTTTGACCACCAAAAACCTCAAACTGGTACACCTGTGACAATTTTACCCTCAACTTACCACAAAAAACCCCAAACTGGTACATATGTGACAATTTTACCATGAATTAAAATTTTAATATTATTTTTTTATTTTTTTTCGAATTTTTATTTATTTTTTATTCTTTTCTTTTCTTTTTTTTTTTCATCTTCAAACTCTGGCCGGTCACCGATTCGGCGACCGGCCAGAGGCGGAAGCCGGCGAGGGCCACCCTTGCCGGCGTCGGGCGAGGGCCGTCCCGCCCGACTCGCGAGGGTGGCCCTCGCCCGACGCAGCGAGGGTCGCCCTCGCCGCATCCGGCGAGGGTCGCGCGAGGTCGCCTCTCGCTGGATCTCGGCGAGGGCGACCCTCGCCCTGGGCCTGGCGAGGGCCGCCCGACGCGCCGCCCGAGTCTGGCGAGGGTCGCCCTTGCCCTGTGGCGTGCGAGGACCGCCTCGCCCGACGCAGCGAGGGTCGCCCTTGCTGATCCGGCGGGCGAGGGGCCGCTGACGCCGGCGAGGGCAACCTCGCTAATACCGACGAGGGTCGCCCTCGCGGATCGGGCGAGGCGGCCCTCGCCGGCTTCCGCCTCTAGCCGGTCGCCGGACCGGCGACCGGCCAGAGGTTGAAGGTGAAGGAAAAAAAAAGAAAAGAAAAGAAAAAAGAAAAAATTCAAAAAAATAAAAAAAATAATATTAAAAATTATTTCAGTGTAAAATTGTCACATGTGTACCAGTTTAGGGTTTTTTGTGGTATGTTTGGGGTAAAATTGTCACAGGTGTACCGGTTTGGAGTTTTTTATGGTAAAAAAAATAGTTTGGGGTAAATGTGTCACAAGTGTACCAGTTTAAGATTTTTCGTGGTATTAACCCTTTTTTTTATTGTGGGATAAAACCGCACTCCATAGTAGTAGGACTTGAGTTTCACAAGTAAAGCTTCTTGTACAATTCTGCAAGCTTCGTTTTCTGATCTGCAGCTTCGTTGCCCTTTCTTGCTCTGGTCATTTGAGTGCAGCATCTACTCACTTGCGGACCTCAAGATTTCTTGCTACTAGGAATGACTATGAAATAGAACTCTCGACAACATTAATAAACATGCAAATCGACATGCCGTCAACACATGAAATAGAAACACCGTGCCAAGTACCGCAGCGATGAATAGGTTATCGAACATACCTAATGATATTTCACACCGATAGTTACACGAACCGAGGCAGATATAGGATATGCTGCAATGAAAAATCGCCGCTCTCTACGAAAACCGGATCCGATACGGGCATGAGTTTAATGGAGGCCTGCAAAGGCATGGATAATCACGACATCGTCGTCCACATGGTCCGATTTCTGAGCCTGATGACTCCTGCTCCAGAAGAAATCTTCAAGGTTGTGATGTCACTAGCGAAACGGTCCGAAGACTAAACAAATCGCGTGTTCGTTTGATTGATTGATTCAGAGAGCAAGAAGGCGTGATAAGCTGGAGAATCATTCTTGGCCGATGGATGGACGAAACATACGAATTGAAAAGGCACGACTTTCCTTACCTAACACACTCACTATTTTATCCGGCAAACATTACATTACTTCCCCATTACACCGCACTATCGTTCTATATTCACATCTGTCATTTAACCTTTCCCCACTCGTCTAATATATATTAGCTGGTTTGTGTCTAAATCAAATGTATCTGCATCACCGAAGCAAAACGAGCAATCGAGCCGAGCCATGTTCAGAGCTTTCAGCACCAGAAGAGGCCGCGGCAGATACGAGAAGTTAGGCAATGAGCAATTGCCTGCCATACCTCCTTTGGAAGCTGGGAAACTGAAAAGGACTGCGAGTTTGCCTGCTGGAGTGTTGGGTTCGCCCGTGAACCCGACACAGGAGGTGACCGTTCCGGCCGTTCCCCAGGGGAAGCCTCCGAAGAAAGTCAACAAGAGCCACCCCCTGTTCAGTCTCTTCGATAGTCGCCGGAAGAAGAAGATCACGGCGAGGCCCGAGCTAGCCAGGTATCTCGAATATGTGAAGGAGGGCGGGCTGTGGGGTGCAGACTCGAATAAGCCTGTGATATACTACAGCTGAAAGGGGTTATGTTTACCCCCTTTTTCTTTTATGTGCTGCACATTGATTGTCAATAGAGGTTTGGTAGATTTGAGTATCTAGGAGAGTCTTCATTGAAGAACAAGCTCCTTTTCTTCTTCTTCTTTTTTCCGAAGAGCAATTCAATGTGAATAATCTTGTTAACTGCCATAACCAAAATAGGCTTACAAAGTCATCGGAAACACGGTATCGCACATGTTACTTTTCGGAATTTCCGGGATAAACATATAGGCAGGATCGGTTCTAATCGTGCTAAACACGGGCTGAATATTTCCGATTTGTAGCGATTTGAGGAGCTTCATGCACCAACTATCTTGATGATACTTTAGATCTTAGGAATGTGGAAGTTATCTGTTCAGTGGATTCAAGATCTCTTTCAGAATCACCAGATCTGAAAAATGCAGGTCCTTTGAATTCAAGCCGGATAGAGAGACGCAATTTATCTAATTGGGATCATGGACGTTGTCCCAAAGAGATTCACAGGGTAGAAACCATATCAATCATAACGTTTTCTTTTAGTGATCCGTTCATCATCTTATGTATGGATCGTGATTATTTTGTTATTTTTCATTTTGGTCATGTATCCTGAGCCCCATGGTCTCGGGCTCGGCCACGAGCGATGGGGTCCCGAGTTCGGGAGCCGAGGCATCGACCAGGGCACCAAGGTTTCGAGCTTGATCTTCAGGGTCAGGAACCTAGCCCTCAAGGTCCCAACCGCCACCCTAGGGTCACGAACCCGACTCCTGCTCGGGTCGGCCCCCCGGGGTTATATGTCGACGATGCCCAAGTGTCCCGGGTTCGGGCACCCAACTCTGGGATCCTGGGCTCCGGCAAGTGTGATGGAACGAAGCATACAGATTGGGTTTTCATGCCTTGAATAATCCAATAACTCAAGACAGGGCCTAATTCCAAAAAAAACCCTCAACTTTACACTTTGTCCCAATTATATCCTGAAATTTTTTTTGTCTCAAGAAAAACCTCAAACTTTTATCCGAGTCCCAAATCTGCCCTCCCGTTATAAATTTGTCCAATTAACGTCAGAAAAAAAAAGAAAAAAAAGAGAGAGAGAACCGGCAGCTGCGGCGGTGGCCAAGCCTTCGGCGGTGGCCGCCGCCACAGCCGCCGGGAAGGAGCGGCAGCCCTCGCTTGGGCCTTCCCGAAGGCCGACGACCCTCTTCGGCCCGGGCGAGTCGCCAGTGAGGGCGTGCAGCCCCCGATCTGGGGCGAGGGTCGCGCCCTCCCCCAGATCGGGGGCTGCACGCCCTCGCCGGCGAGGGTCGGTGGCCCTCGCCCGGGCCTTCCCGAAGGCCGGCGACTCGCCCGAGTCGGCGAGGGTCGGCGGCCCTCGCCCCGGGCATTCCCAAAGGCCGGCGACCCTTGCCGGTCCCGGGCGAGTCGCCGGCGAGGGCGTGCAACCCCCGATCTGGGGCGAGGGTCGCGCCCTCCCCGATCGGGGGTTGCACGCCCTCGCTGGCTGAGGTCTGGCGGCCCTCGCCCGGGCCTTCCCGAAGGCCGGCGACTCGCCCGGGCCCGGCCGAGGGTCGCCGGCCTTCGGAAGGCCCAAGCTAGGGCCGCCGCTCCTTCCCGGCGGCTGTGGCGGTGGCCATCGGCGACGGCTTGGCCACCGCCGCAGCTGCCAGTTCTCTTTTTTTTTTTTTCTGACGTTAATTGAACGGATTTATAACGGGAGGGCAGATTTGGGACTCGGATAAAAATTTGAGGTTTTTCTTAAGACAAAAAAAAAGTTCAAGATATAATTAAGATAAAGTGTAAAGTTCAGGGTTTTTTTGGGTATTCGGCCCTCAAGACAGAGAGAGGTCCATTTTTTGTTTTTGAAAATGTTTTCTGTTTTGTCGTTTCTTCGAAAGTCAAAATGAATAAAATAAGAAATTATTTTTCTTGCAAAAGCATATTCAATTACGAAAGTGAAAATGCTCATCAATCTGAACGAGAACGTTCTAAACATATCTGTGTCGTTTTCGAAGTTAAACAAGTAAGCTCTTCGCTGTATACTTTGGTTACATTTCTTATTCATTTTAGAATCGTAGTTGTAAAAAGTCAAATGATTTTCGCATGTGATCAGACGCATTTTTAATATTGTTTTTGTTCTCGAGTGAAAATGAAAATAGATGACCAATTTTTTTTTTCTCGGATAAGACTTTTGAATATCTCAAATTATTATTTGCGACTCAAATCTATTCTCCATTGGCATTCTGTTCAATATTCCTTTAAAATATATACATATGGATTTTCCACATCGGATCCGGCTTGCATAGAATAGATGCAATGAAATCGCCACTCCACGAAAACAAGAAAAATTCGTGATACAAAATATAGGAGATGATTTCAAATGGCCGGTAAGGTGATACTCCCAAATTAGAATAAGGGGCTGTTTGGTAACTTGCCAAACAGTATCCGATTTTATTATTTTGTTCTCTGGAACAAAAAAAGAAAAGAAATCCGTTTGGTAAATTTTTTGTTCCCGAGCACAAATTTGTTCCCAGAATCAGTTTTGGAACAGAATTAAGAATAAAAAAAAAGGTTAATTCTTGATTCTGGGAACAATAATAAAAAATGGAAAAGATTTTTTTCTTCTTCTTCTTCTTCTTGGTTGGTCTTCTTCATTTTTTCTGGCCTGTGACCGATCGTTGGCCGCTAGCCACAGGCGATCAGTCATAGGCCAGGGCCGGCGCTAGCGACGACGACCTAGCCATGGGCCAAGGAAGAGAAAGAAGAAAAAAAGAAAAAAAAAAGAAAGAAATATTAAAAAAAATTCAAAATATTATTAAAATATTATTAATAAAAAAAAATTTGTGTAATTACCCAACGCATTTCTATTATTTTTCTATTCCAGAAATAGAAATTTTGGGCAGTTACCAACGCCTTCAAGTACTTAGAAATTGTTTTTGATAATAGAATAAAAAAAATCATTTCTGAGCAAAAATTATTTCCGGGAACAAAATAATTATCAAACGCACCCTCAGCTTTCCCCAGTTGAAGTCTCAAGTCGCCATTAGGGGCGTTGACCCTTTTTGTTACTTTTGCGCATTGATAGCACCCCAGATAAGAATATGCAAAAGAAAGCATAGGACCGTCAAATAAGCGCGTTGAGTCGGGTTTAGTCATATATAGTTCGACCCAAATTGATCAATTCATCATGTTTTGACCTATTTATTTGTAATGCAAATTTATCGACTTATACCTAATCCATTTCGGGATTCATTTTTAGCATTTTTGTCTCCTTATATTGTTTCCTTTGAAAAAGATGGCCGTACGTGAGAACCGAGACGTTAGAACTAGGCTGAGTGAGGTGAGTCAAGCTTTAAATAATGAATGGGTTATAAATGGGTCCATAATTTACAACCCACTTGCTTTGGCCTCTTTATTTTGTACCCATTATGCCATCCCGCGAAATTTAGTATGTCCCATTCAAATAATTTTGGGTTATTTATTGGATTTTGGAACCATTTTGACAGGTTTAAGAGAGAATTATGTTTCATAACGAACCATACATGAGATACGTATAACTTTTACAATATGACTATTTATGTTAAAAATGCATTACAATATTAGTTACAATCAATCAGAATCAATCATAAACATGAACATGAGGCATGCTTAATTTGATATGTATAGTATGGAGAATGAGGGAAGACATGAAAAATCTCCTATTTATCTTTTAATCATCTCTAATAACACCCATCATTCTTCTTCTTTTTTTCCTGCATCATGGTTAGTTAAAGTCAATAAATTAACTTAAGAAATTGTTCAAAATAATGGCCATGTCTAGAAGAGTAACCATATATGTTCAATATAGCGTACCAGCGTGGTGGTTGGCCATCTTGGTGATGCTTTCGTCTTCTCGGTTTCTTCGATCGATAAATTTTTTTTTATCGGGCTTAGCGAGCCTAGGCGAACTCCAAAAAGAAATTTATTCGTACATACCACACATCTTGTCTTTTAGATCGCCCGTCTATTGGTCAGGCCTAATTTTTTTTTTTTTTGGTAACCGAGGATCCCCCATCATTCCCCGGGGATGAGCCCGCACAGGTAATCGGAGCGCCTATACCTCGGGAGAGACTAGCCCAGCAACTCACCGCCAGGGCCCCCCACTTAAATTACGGAACCGAGTGGGGATTCGAACCCAGAACCTCTGAGGAGGGAAGGAAAGCGTCCACCAACTCGACCATGCGCAGGTGGGTGGTCGGGCCTAATTTAATATTGTAAACAATAAGAAATTTAAGCGGAATGGAGCCACACCATTACAAAGCTCCGTCCAATTTCCCTTTGCATCACTTAAAAGTACAAAGTAAGAACAACAGTCACTAAACAGAGAACGGTATTCCAAAATATGTGTATATTTGTCATGATTCAAGATTTGAAGGAGCATATAATGTGACATTGATATATAACTAATGTAAAATGATCCGGGTCTAAAATCCCAAATCCCCCTTATTAAGGTGATGAAGATATCAGGTCCAAAGCTCGCTCGAGGAATTTTTCTAGATTATCAAACAAGAATTTAAATAACTTTATTGCGTAGATTGTAATTACGCACGCCTTAATTAAATCCTTGTCCTATTTTTTTATTTTTATTTTTTTCTGTTTCTTTTATATGAATATCCAAACATAATCCCGTCTATATGTTTCCAATCAAGAGACATGCAGGCTATTGACTTTTAATAACCGTCAATGATAACAACACTAATAATGACGATGATGACAGTAATGTTCGTATTAAAAATTGCGGAACGAAATTTTTAAAAAATGATAATGAAAATAATATGATAAGCAAAAATTCTACTTATGTCATAAAAGCGTGGGACAAAATGGGATGTCTACACCGAACATGTGCAAAGTAAGTTTCATTATGCTATATACACAATGGTACAGGAAAAGTGCGCGATCAGTCTTAAACCTATTGTGCTGAATTCGATCGAGTCGTAAATCTTTAAATTAAACTAATTCAGTCCTAAACATTTGAGGGAAAGTGCAGTCAAGTCATCTCGGTCTAGTCTCGCCTGATTATTTGACGTGAGAGTCTAGTCATCGCCGACC